TAACTTAAAACGGTTCAGTAATTGCCTACTACCCAGTGGTGTCGTCTGCTATCGTACTTGGCTTTCCCAGGCCAGCTTCGATCACAGGCAGCGCAATCAAAACTAAGAAAGAAGCTGCCCTGCCATATATTACTTGTTAGACTATTGTTTGGCGGCGAAGGCGTGTCGGCACTATCCGCCACAGACAGCGTTTCCCACACTTGCCAGCCCTTAGTCAGATTCGCTGACGTGATTGTGTGTGAGTGTGCGTGCTGGAATTCTGACCAGCACTGTGCAGCTAAAGTGAATGTTGGATTGCTGGTTCCACTTAGCCAGGAGGTATTCTGAACAGCATGGGAGAGGTGGTTGATTAGCGTCAATTGCACAATCATGGGTATGACTGTAATATTCATCTACACCCGCAGAACGGACATTTCTGGGTGACGTCCCAAGAGGTGTTTAGAGAAACATACAGTCAACTTTGCGTATAACGGCACTGACACTCGGCGGGGCATCAGAAAAGTGTCCTTATTCGCGAAGTGTCCTTATGCCCGAAGTTTCATTATGTATTACAGTTAGATGGGACTTTGCTCTGGGCACGGACATTCTGTCGTTATTCGCGAATTGTCGTTATATCCGCAGTAACGTTTGTTACTAGTATTAGCGACGTTGACTGTATCGGAATACATGTATGAGAACGCACTTGTACCAGCCCGCACTGTCGCAGCCACCAATCAAGGCACATCAATTATTTACTTCTGACTAGTACTTACGCATGATACGTACACTACAGCAAACACACTGTTGCTTCTAAGCCGATTTGACTGAAACGGCCAAGAAAGAGGGGATTTGCCCAGTCGTGAGCCGATTCGCTACGGCTAGACAAGTCAAATTGCATTGGCCAAGCTTGAGATGTGCTGTGACTCACAGCACGTTTGTTTTCCTTTCTGACTGCAAATGGACTATTTTGTTATCGCTCCTTTCTGGTCACATCTTCAAAGCACTCTTGTCATGACTGTATACATGAGAGACATTATTATGTGTACATGTACATGCCGGAGACGCAAAATTAATAGGGCACACGATATGTTTTACAACTCACCAAGACCACCAAATTCTTGGCACAAAACTGACAGAGAGCACTGATTCGTTGATCCATCTTCATTTGGTCCGTCCATTCCGAAGAGGTTCTTTTATTGTACAGACGGGACCACACGCCGCTTGCAGACACTAGCACGCGAACAGTTCACCAGCAACACTCCACGACAGCGCGTAGTCTCTCCCGACGAGCTTGTTTCGTTCTTCGTTCCATAGGATCCGCGGAACTCATCAGAAGAACTGGGGTTGTTGAATTACAGGGTTGCGCTAGAGAATAGTATTCACGTTATACATAAGTTAAAGATGTCTCTAGATGTATGCACTCAACTTACTCACCTACATGTATATAGTTGTACTTAGATGTGCAGCCTAACACAAATGGAATAGATCACAGATGATGAGCGAAGGAAAATTTTGTAACATGGAAAAATGCGGACACAAGTTATGCGATCGAGTCCACCAATGGCGCTTGCCTTCCCCTCTTTGGAATTAGCACTAATGTCCATGAACCTTCCAAGTTGGAAGGCCGTTGGTTAGCGCTATCGAGCAGTGCTCAAGCTGACTTTAATGCCGTGGAATGTTTCAGTACTCTTTGTCAGTTTTGTGCTAGATTGCGCACGTCTGACTGTTCAAAATCTGGTTCAGTGGTGGACTCGATCGCATAACGTATGCCTACATTTTTCCATGTTAAAAACGGAATAGTGTAGCATGGAGGTGTTGAGCCCCGTCATACACAACTACAACGAGCAGAAGTTCTTTGCCAATCACAAGGGGAAAGAGAGGCAAACAAATAGGTTGTGCTACAGACTCTGACACGTCATTAAATTAATGGAGTGGTGAAAGCCATAGGTGCGAAGAAGAAGCCAAGTCACAGCCAGCAACATCATAATCAACCCTACCATTCAACACCCGCTAGACAAACAAATTCACGGTTCGCGTGGGACTCGGTCAAAGGCCGAGTTTTCCGCATCCGCAGGAACGCCACCACCCTCTTGGATCAAGGCGCAGATGCAGCTCGTAAGCGGTGCAGTGGATGCAGTGAATGGGATGTTCGGTCTTTGACCACTTTGTGGTGGGTCTGATCTACTCACCTCCGATGGACAAAGCAACACTAATACACTCATAGTAAGCACTAAGAACCAAAGTAAGAGAAGTAACACGTACTAAACACGACGTACTGGTGCTGAGAAACATCATTTGACTATACAACGAGAGTGATAACAACCATCCTTACTTTTATTTTTCGCCGTGGTTGGCAATCACCCACTCTCCTGATATTGGCCGGTGTTTCCACCGAGTCTTGAGATGTAATAAATAAAAAATCATGCAGGCACAAACAGCTAGAGTGCAAAACAGCTCGAGTACAAAACAGCTAGACCAATGTGAGAGTAATAACAGCAAAACATTACGCAAGAACCAGTACTGGCCAAGACTGGCCATACCGAAACACATGAAACAATATTGCAGTATTGGAGAATTTCACCATACTATCTTTATGAACGCACAAATTGAGCTTATTGGCTGGCAAGGTACGCTCGGGCCTGGTTTAAATCTGGATTTGGAAAATTTATTTTCATTGCTATCAGGTTCGCCTCATTTTCTCTGTGCTGCGCGGATGAGTCCACAAAGGACGAAACAGTTCTGTCCGCAGATTGAGCTTATAGGCTATTCATAATAATTACGAATGCGACGATTGAGGAAACTCGGGGGAGGATATCTCATTCTACATGGATGTCCTGTACCGTAACCTCGACCGACGTTGACGCCTCGCGCATGTCTCAAACTGGGTTTGGATGGTTGTTGGTACATGGCGCTGCTGCAACTGGAGTTCGGTGTTACTGGTCCCTGCGAGTTAATCCCGTGAACAACATTGACACCATGTCATGCAGTGGTTGTCGAATATTTGAGTCCTGATGAAAGTCACAAGAAAACATTGCAATCTACCTACAGTTGCTTTGTTACAGAGAATAAATTAATGTGATCACCCTTCTCTGTTCTAGTAACAAAATGTAGCTAAGCGATTTGATATAAGAATGTCTAAACTCCTTTCGATGTAGATGCAAGTGATACGGTTTTCCAGACCTAGTGAGGACTACGAACCACGGGCCAATACAAACGATCTAAAACATACTTCGAAGTAAAACTGAGAGAAGAGAGACCATAGGCAAATGACGGAAGGGATGTACAAGTATGCTAGCTTTCAAGATAGCAGCCAGCAGAGCGGACTTCACCGAAAAGAAAACCCTTGGAACGGACAACGTAGTGAACTTCACTGCAACGGCATGGAGTGGGCAATAGATTTAGGCTAAGGCCTGTGGAGAATCCATAAATACAAATACATGTACAATAGAGTGGACTTTATGTGCGGATCAAGCACTGATAAGGTGAACTTCACCGTGACTGAATGCGACATGAGAATGTATTGCATGCACAGTACAGCACCACAAAAATATTCAGCGGATATTTAAGATGAGACTAACAATTGCAAGCTTGTATCTATCGGCCCAGTATTCACACATTAAATTTCTAAGCGGAGAAGGTCGTAAAGCAGGCCGTAACGGCGATAATGAGTCATTATCTCTTTAAAAAAATCTACTCGTTTTCAAAACTAGCATGGGCACCAGAGCGCATGATATGCATTGAGCAGCGGGTCATCAACCTGCATGTACTATGACCAGTGTACTGTAATACTATACTATGTAACCACACAACGGCACACAATGAAAAACCTTGGCAAATTAATTCCGTTGTGACTCAGGGTTTCTTGGCTGAACCAGTCATCAGACAACGTTTACGCCGCTCTGCCTGAATCAGGCATTGAGCACTCTTGCAGAACCAAAGCATGTTGCCTCTGTGTATACTATGTAACCATGATTGCAGTGTTTATAGACTGGCTCTCTGATTTCTACCAAAAACGAAAGTAGTATAACATAGTTGAAGAATGAAAGTGTGCAAGGGAAGAAGATGGCAACTATGAAAGCGGTCATTTACCAACGATACTTGTACATGTTCATAATACGAAATTTCCCAACTGAACTGCTGCTGGCTGGGCTATTGTACTGGATAATATTTGAAATGCATTGTAGCATGAATCACTGGATGAAGAAACGTGTAGGATGTCAAGGAGCGTACGTACTTCATCTAACTACTTTCTGGTCCAGGCTGTTGGGTTGGAAACGGAGGAAGTGAGATAGAAAGAGAGAGAGATATAGAGATAGATAGATAGATAGAGAAAGAGGGAGAGAGAGAGAGAGACAGAGACAGAGAGAGAGAGAGAGAGAGAGAGAGAGAGAGAGAGAGAGAGAGAGAGAGAGAGAGAGAGAGAGAGAGGGAGAGGGAGAGGGAGAGGGAGAGAGAGAGAGGGAGAATGTGTGCGTGCATGTGTGCGTGTGTGTGTGTGTGCGTGTGTGTGTGTGTGTGTGTGTGTGTGTGTGTGTGTGTGTGTGTCTGTGTGTGTGTCTGCTCATGATTGACAGATTGGAATAGAGACAGATGCATGCATAACGGATTTGACTGGACCGACATGGATGACGGATTTGTTGATGTGCAGTCCCCAGCCCGGAAACGCACCCTGGACACATTCACGACTGATGGCGACGTTTTGGGACAATACTTCCACGTGCTCTTGAACGGAAGCGGTCAACCTCATCTGAGTCCCTTTGTCCGCAAGCTACAAAACAAATACGAGGATCTTGAGTTTATTACGCAAGGTGTAAACGTCATGCCTCTACCGATCACACTCAGCCGTCGTCGGTATGATCAGATAGCCTTGAAGTACAACCATCGCTTCCGGGAGCTCTTTCAACTAGAGGTACTCATCACACATGGTTTGATCTATCGTGAGATGCTCAGTACGGTCTTTTTTTGTGCTTGATGAGAGTAAAACTCTCGACTACGGCGAGGTGCTCATCCAGATATCGGAGCAGGGTGATGTCGTGCCCATCGTCGGACTTGTGGCCATCGCCAAGAACCCATGTCTGCATCCCGGTGATATTCGATTGCTGAATGCCGTGCGACCACCAGCCAGCAATGCTTACCTATCCGCTCTGGTAAACTGCCTGGTGTTCCCGGCAAAGGGCAAGCGGCCACACCCGAACGAGTGCAGCGGACGAAGCTACCCGGGCCTAAGAAGCTCATCGAATATTTTGATTTCGTGCTTCGGAAACTTCTTCAGCTGAGCACCCTCGCAGCTCGCAAAATGCGCTCCATTCTGATTTTCACCCACGTTCTGGCGGAACGTGGGTGAGCCTCCATACACGGTATGTCGTGGATCAGAAAACGTCTGTACGTGGGTCACTGAGTATCACGTGGTACACACACGTAAAGTACCCACGGATTACGTGGGACTAAACCTCCCTAATGTGTGTGTGTGTGTACGCACGTGTGAGTGTATGTGTATGTGAGAAAGGGGAGAGAGTGTGGGTGTATGTGTGTGTAATGCCGTCAATCCTTTTTCTGCACCTTGTCCTCACCCACTTACTGAGGTGTGGTGAGCCCATAAGTGGGATATTTTCAAGTCCACCCAGAGTTTTGGGGATTTCAGGGGGTGTCGGCCGTTGGGCGGTTCAATAACCAGTTGAGTCATCTTTCCAAGATTCCTTTTGAGTCTCTCTCCCCTCTCCCGGGGGGACTCACGTGACCAGTTTTGGCAGTGAGCAAGTACAAGTACAAGTACAAGTACAAGTACAAGTGTGTAATGATGTGCGCATGTGTGGATTTGGCATTTAAGTCCCCAGATCTGTTCTATATCATTCACGCCGGAACTGCTGCTGCATAGCCCCAAGTCTGAAGACTTGGCAACTTCACGCCTGCAACTGACTCTTGCGCTATGATACGCGTCGCCTATGATAACCCTCAGAATTTCCCACCTTGCTCCCCCTTATGTTCTGGCTGCCCGTTTTGGATCCATCAGTTGCCTGATGATCGTAGTAATACGTGAAACTCAGAGTTGTACCTAAGCTTCCAATCTCGTTCTTGTGTAAAAGTAATGATATGCATGTACAATATCCATACATCTTCACCACACTCTCTAAACGGTCCCTGGGCTGCACAAATCATTACAAGAAAAAGAGACAATCATTGCAATTTTCGGGCAAGGCCCATCTTCAGCCCATCTTCAGGAATGGCGTATAGTGGATGGCTACAGTGGAGTGTCCGCATTTTGAGAAATGGATGTACAATGTGATGTGAATGATGCCAATCACGTCTTCAAAAAAACCAAAACATGCTTATTGCAGAACCTCTTCCAAGGTCAAAGTACGGACCACGCAGCAGGGGACATCTACAATACAAGACTGCATGGGTACAGACAGATTGATAGTGTTCTGCCCCCTCGTCCCCGCCACACGACAACGCTCATTGCCTTCTCCCCCCTGGTCCCCGCCACACGAAAACGCTCAGATCTGTTAGCTACGTAGCTCTCACGATGCCTAGACCGGCCTTGTTTGATAGATCTCACAACAATAGACTTGTAGGGGGCGCAGAAGGAAAAAGACGAAAAGACAAGACTGAGCCAAAAAAACCATACTCGCACGTACACTTAGACCATAATATGACATATTTGAGTAATTATTTTTTAACAATAATCCACTCGATTTCAAGACAAGTGGCAGTTCCAGATTTAAAAAAAAGAAAAGATTTCAAGACAAGCACATGACCGTACAATGTTTGGACACCATCCTGCTTGATGTGCAGCAGTGACCAGCGGGGTTACAAAACAGGAAAGTACTAGACAGGTACCATCGGGATGGGGTAATGGCATAAAGACGCGTCCAGTGTGACATCAGTCGTTCGTTACAAGACATGTACAATCATGTAGATACTGGACCGTGTAGATGCACAGGACAGTGTAGGTACTGGATATTGGAAAGTGTAGATACTGGATTGTACTAGTAGATGCTGGGTAGGTATCCGGGGTAGTGGCATGACGAAACGTGCACGATGTCAAGCAGTGTACGTACTCCACCTAATGACTCTCTGGGGCAGGCTGTTGGGTTGGAAACGGAGGAAGAGACGGAACAAGTGAGAGTGTGGTTGTGTGTGTATGTGTGAGTGAGAGAGAGAGAGAGGGTGTGTGCGTGCGCCCGCGTGTGCGTTTGTGCGTACACGTGGCATGTAAGCATATGGATGTGTGCATGCGAGTGTGTGTTTGTTATGTGTACGTGCGTGTGCGTGTGTGTGTGCGTGTGTGCGGTGTGTGTGTGTGCGCGTGTGTGGTGTGTGTATGTGTGCGCGTGATTGATAGAACGACAGGGAACGAGGTTACTTGAATCGTGATATCTTCAACAAGACAATATTGGTCACCAGACATCACTAACGGATTGGCTTCCTCGACTTCAAGATATCACACAGCTCACTGTACGGGATCCAGCCAAAACTTAGCAGATACTGTGCGCCCTTCTTTGCCGTCTTGTTACTGGTTGATATGGCAACGGCGGTGGGACCGCTGTCATAGGCTGCGTAGTACCATGCGGACGCCTTGCTCCACCTTGTGACAGGGTCCAGACCAGTGAAGTTCTGCTCATAGTAGTGCTGACGGAGTCGTAGTGTTTCCAAACGTACCTGCATGTCAAGAACAAGCACGTGCATGCACACGTATGCATCCACACGTACAACAAAATCCAGATACACAGATACACAGATACACACAAACACACATACGTACACACCCACACACGCATACGTACACACACAAACTTGTAACTGTTCACTACCAGGGCTGGTCACGTGAGTCTTCCCCCAAAGAGTGGAGAGAGGTTCAAAAGGAATCTTGGAAAGATGACTCAATTGGCTATTGAACTGGCCAACGGCTGACGCCCATTGAAATCCCCAAACTCTGGGTGGACTTGGAAATGATGCTAGTTATGGGCTCACCACATCTCAGTAAGTGGGCGAGGACAATTTGCAGAAAAGGGATTGACGGCATCAAGGTATCCATCCAGAGATTCAACTGCAGTAACCCCTGCCCCCAGCGAAGGTAATACTTGCTACTACTTATGTCCATGTGTACGGACACTCACTGTTCGTGGGAAGGTGATTCACATTGACGAGAGAAACCATGGAGCGTACACGGAAATAAGGAATGGCGCGATTTGCTTATTTTGTCAGGGCTACTCAGATAACGCTGAAGACGTGCATATTCCTAGGCTTTTGGGCCGAATGAGGGATCTGAGAATGGGGTGGGGTGGGAAGGGAGTAGGGGTTGGGGTGATGGGCGACGGGGGGGGGGGGTGGGAGTGGGGACGGCGATCAAGGGGTGCTAGGTTGTTGATTGTGGTTCAGGAGATAGGTTGTGGGGTTCATTTAGTGGGGGGGGGGGAGTTAGGTAAAATATGGTACAGGGAATGGAGAGGACAGGGGGGGGGGTCAAGGGGGCTGGCTCAAATTGTTAAAAGGTACCGTGGTCATGGCAGCTGAGAGAGCAATGGTAGCATGAGCGATAACTCCTACCTGTGCCTGCACATCCTGCAGCTTCTGTCTGCGATGGTGGCGTGACGTCACCTTCACCATGTAGCCTCCAACTGCTTCAGCTTCCTTCCAGACACCATAGCGACGCATGATAGCGGCCAGCTGCTGATTGTAATCGTACAAAAGGTGCTGGGCATCGTCTAGATACTCTCCCATGCCATCGACGATCAGGGCTTCATTAATAGATAAGCCCGCTCTCTCAAACAACGGCGGTTTGTGATTGGATATGGTGCGGAACAGCTTTCCGATAACCTTTTGTGATCTGTAGGAATTCTTGCTGGTCTTCTTGAGGAAATCGGGGAACTCCTTAGGACGATGACGTATTTTCATTTCCACGACCACTCCAGTCTTGGGATAGTCGACGGCTGTTGATTGCATTTCGGCCAGCTCTCGGCAAATCGGGTCCAGGGCCTTGCGTGGCGATGTATCGGCCTTGGCTTGATGTGCGATGCAGATCTGTCCAAGTACGTCGGTTTTCATATAGTCGGTGAAGAACTTGCAGATCTTCTCGATGGTGACAGCGTGCTGTACCAGCGGTGGTGCTGTGTCGTAGTCAGCAGGCTCCACGATACGCCCGGGCAATGGCAACAATGCCGGCTCCCACGTGACAAAGTACTGATCACCGTCCAGATCGGATCCGCTGCACTCGTCCGGGTGTGGTCGTTTGCCCTTTGCCGGGAACACCAGGCAGTTAACCAGAGCGGACAGGTAGGCATTGTCGGATGGTGGTCGCACTGCATTCAGCAATCGAATATCACCCGGATGCAGACATGGGTTCTTGGCTATAGCCACGCGTCCGATGATGGGCACTACATCACCCCGTTCCGATATTTGGATGAGGACCTCGCCGTAGTCGAGAGTTTTGCTCTCATCGAGCACACCCATAAGCAGTGCCGCCTTCTCGACATTGATGTGTGCCTTGTCCTCGAGATTGAGCAGATAGTTTTGACGGTAAGCCAGAAGAAGGCCTTGCAGGTAAGGATCTCCGCCGGGGCTGATTCCTGCGGCCATCATGGCATGCATGGTGGTGGTGGTGGCGTAGACCTCCTGAAGACAATGGCTTCTTGCGATCTCCACCATAGCTGCCTGCACGGACATTTAGCCATGAGAAAGATGGCATAAAGGAACGTGATGGAGTTATACGATATTGCTAGCCTGCAATTTTGTTTTACAGAAATCTGCAGCACTTTTATCACCTTTCTTTAAGGTGGCAGACTACCCAAAAATTCGCTGAAAAATCGAATTTGTAAATTCATATTGAGTGCTACGTCAGTTGAAAGAGCATGAATAGCTGCAAATTCTCTGAAAATTGTGTCCCGATCTGACCGGCCGTTCAAGAGTTATGGCCGAAAATGTGCCCTTGCAAGGAAAGATTTTTTTGTTGCACGCTGTCATTTGTTGGCAGCACTGTATTTGAATGTGAGCAGACCGTGCGCAACTTTGTCGTATCATGGAAACACGTGAAAGTGTGCAGAATTTTGCTCCAAGTCCAAAAAATCAGGTTTTTGAGCCACGTATTGGGCTGCACGGCGGCGGGCGAAGCCCGCCGCCGTGCAGCTGGACTTTTGCCAGCACCCTCGTGACGTTGCAGATATGTGGCTTGATTATTGTAGTTGACGTTGATTTAGTGACTTTGGCAAGTTTGGGTCGTGTCAAGAAGTCAGGTAGGATTCAGTACTAGGCAGTAGTGAAACGTGAGTGGTAGTGCCATATGAAATTTATGGGTAGGCTGCCCCCTTAAAGCCCTAGACTACATTGCATCTTCTTTCTTACCTTTCGTTTTTCCGTGATTAAGTTTAACTTGCCGATCATGCCGCGCTGCAGTCCTATGAACACGTCATCCTTTATTCCGAGAGTGCTCAGCAGCAGGATGATTTCGCGATTGAGATGGCCGGGGAACCGCCGCGCTACCTGGATCACCTCCAGCTGCAGATGGCTACTCTCAAACTTGCGCATGCTCGGGCGCAGACGCAGCTTGAGATGCCGCGGCAGGTCACAGCTGACGGCCACGACGCCCTTAAACCCGGCAAAGCGGATCTGGAATGCTGCCGCCTGACCACTTGTTTTCAGCTGCGTACTTGTCAGAGCCTCCTTAGCGAACTGCACACAGATATGACACGTAAAGGACTAGGCATGGGCGGGTAATGCTAGTTATTTGCACCAATTATGCTAAAGGCAATGCTCAAAATATGAGGATATAATGCCACTTATAATGCTCACCCTACTCCATAATGCCAGTTTAAAAGTTGGAAAAGTCGATTTAAGAAGGCCATCTTGGATCAAGGCCAAAGCGCAGAAGAAACAAACTTACAAAAAGTGAGCATGCTGTCTGAAACAATCCACTGAGAAGTGAGAAGGTTGATTTGCAACGTCAAGTCTCCGGACGAAGCCGGACGGGTTCAGATGCACAATTTTCGGAACTGGACCTAGCCAGCTTCATGCATGACACTGTTGTCGACCGGCAATGCTTGTAATGCCAATTTTGCATGCGAAATGGTGTTTTAATGCCAGCATTATGCCACCTGGAAAAAAGCGACTATAATGCCAGCATAATGCTAGCATTACCCGCCCATGCCTACATAGGACTCCATTTTCTCTGTGCTGCGGTAATAAGTAGTGATGTAGGGAATATTCTAATATAAACAAATGAACGGCGAGGAGACAACAATTTGATAACCGCAATCAGTAATACATGCTGAATCGACATTTGTGTACACTTTATTCATGTAATGTAAAACTGTGGAGACAATGTGCAATAAAACGATGAAAATGTGAAGAAATGGTGTAGAGAAAATGAGGATTCAAACACGTTTTCGTACAACACTCATCAGGAATCTTCGTTGTACTAAAGGACAATGAAAACAAAATTGAACTATTATCGAAAATCAAAGTTAGAAAAATAACACTAAGAACAACAGCAGTGAAATTTACAAGTGTGAATTTTATCAATGAAAGCGAGAGCAATAACGAATGCGTGTACTAACACTAAACTTGCAACTGAAAAATGAACAAAGAAGAGAAAGGGACAAAGTGATAACAAATAGCAGCAGTACATTACACCTAGAAAATTAACGGCCAAGCTTGTCCGCACCAAACATGACACTTTACTTGAACAATTTCAACCCAATTATACTATCCTTCTATACACACAAATTAGGCTTATACAGACGCTGACAGATCGCTTCCAAAACTTTTAACTGTAGTCCATAACCATAACGACCACGGCACAATACAGTGAAAGAAGAGTCGGAATACGAATTGCAACAATCAGGACTAGCCAACAGATGATTTTACACTGAAGACTTGCTACCACGAAACCTACGCACAACACTAACATTCTCACTGGCACTCTCACGATCACTACAATCGTCGCTCTCCGACTCATTGCTCCCTTCACTGTCCGTCCCATCATCCGCTTCCTCTCCGCTCTCTCTGTTATCCCGCCTGACTTGATCCATTGAACGGGACTCGGCCGTCACCCTGCTGTCACGTCCCTCCTTGCGCCCTTGTCCGTTGAGTGCGTAGCTTCTATTGTAGTTGGCTTTTGATCGTCTTGGTCTTTCAATTGTGGCCTTGGATGGTGGATTAGTTGTGTTTGCTGTATATTGCATTGTTGGTGAAAAATTGATTTGAGTGTTTTTGGCTTGGGTTTGAAATTCTTTATTTTACACATGCATTTTTCTGATTTCTTCTCCAGTGTATAACTTATTGCATTTTAAAGCATTGTGTGAATTTGTCCGTAAAAGAGGCCTGTAAAAAAAGAGTTCTGTCCGCAGGTTGAGTAATTCAAAAGTGTGTAGATTGTAGTCTTATTTTATTCTGTAAAAACCCGGTGGTGTTGTGTGAGGTGGCCATTTTTTTAGGATTTCCTTCAATGCCTCAGGTTCTCCCTTTTCAACCCCCTTCAACTAATGAATACGTGAGAGAGTTGGAAAGGGTGTTTTTTTTAATGGAAC